TAATCGTGAATCTATTAAATTATACATAAGAAATCTCATGTTAATGAAAAGCCTCATGTCATATGAGGAAGAATATGTCAATTTTAACTCACATGCATTGTAAACCACTTGAGGAAGTTGTTATTGATCTCCCTACAAAAAAACCACTATTGATGTGTTATTCATGTGTTATGGAGGTACTATTAAGGTGTTATTCTTGTTTAAACAACAAAAAAATCTCAAAAACACCTCAATTGCAATCACTGTTATTGATGTCTTATTATTGTTTTAATGATGTGTTATTGAGGTGATAACACCAAGAACACAAAAATAACCTTTTTTGATATGTTATTCATGTGATATGGAGGTTTTATTAACGTGTTATTATTTAAACAACAAAAAAACCTCAAAAGCACTTTTGTCACAATCACTATTATTGATGTGTTATTGATGTGTTAATGATGTGTTATTGATGTGATAACACTAAGGACACAAAAATAACCTTTATTGATGTGTTATTCATGTGTTATGGAAGTATTACCTGAGGTGTTATTGTTTTTTAAACAACAAAAAACCTAAAAAAACACCTCAATCACAATCACTGTTATTGATTTGTTATTGATGTATTATTAATATGTTATTGATGTGGTAACACCAAGGACACAAAAATAACTTCTATTTATGTGTTATTCATGTGTTATGGAGGCATTATTGAGGTGTTATTGTTGTTTAAACAATAAAAAAAAACTCAAATGCACTTTAGTCACAATCACTATTATTGATGTGTTATTGATGTGTTAATGATGTGTTATTGAAGTGATAACACCAAGGACACAAAAATAAATTCTATTGATGTGTTATTTACGTGTTACTGAGGTATTACTGAGGTGTTATTGTTGTTTAAACAAACATAACACCTCAAAAGCACCTCAGCCACAATCATTTCTGGGTTATTTTTCTTACCAAAGGCTCGGTCACAATCATTTCTTTGTTATTACATACCAATTAAAAGGGAAAATATTGTTATGTTATTAATGTGTTATTCTAATCTAAATGACAATGTAGCATAGTACGTGGATTTAGTTGAACTACTAGCCTTCTTGGTTGTGTATTTCAGGCACCAATGACAAATGATTCACTTTCGGAGGATGCAATGCGCAACCTAAGGTTTCGCCGACCGAAAGACGTTGCCGACTGATTCACCTTTTTTTGAGTTAGAAATAACGCGTTACCAAAACCTAGGGTTTCGCTAAAGAGGAAGGAATCGGACGCAAAGCTTGAAACCGTCAGAATTTTGCTAAAAATATGCCAAAAAGTGTCATTTGAATGAAGCGTTGCAACTTTGGGTTGGATTCGGACCGGGTCACACAATCAAAAGTTATTTTTTAAATTTTAAAAACACTGGGTCTCGGTTTTGGGTCAGGACACACAGTAAAAATAATTTTTTCATTTGTTTCATAGGTGGGTCCCTACATTCTAAGTGGCGATTCTGGATTGGACTCCGGAGGCAGCTTTGCATCCGGAGTCCAAATGTAATATTTTTTCGTGCAATGAAGTATGTTGAAAATTTTATATAAATATAACACCATTCTTGTGCATTTACATCTCTAGGACGTAGAGTTTTGTATTTATAACATTTTGGTGTTATAAAAATTTCCTGAAAAGATGTATTCATATATTATTTTTTTCATAAAGGAAACAATATTTGGGTATGATGGACCCAAATACCGCTTCCCCTTTGCACTCGGGCACCTATGATGGGGTGTCTGCGCCAAGTGTCTAATATTTCAGAGCCCTCACGCTACAGTCGGATCAAACCCTTAACCCGAGGGGACTTACAGTGATCCCGCCACCAACAGGCCAAGGCTTGTGGCGCGCGCGCGCGCGCGCGCACACACACACACA